ATAATTAAAAAAGTAGATCAGAGATATATTTATAGTAATTATGCAGGCAAATTTGCCTGCAAATCTCTACCAATTAAAGGATAATAGCTGGTTACTGTAGGATGAGATGGAGCGGGTTGGGGCTCTATCAGGATACAAGTATGTTGTTTTGGCGTTCTTAAATATTTGTTTGGCATCTTTGTTGTGAATTTTTGACACTCCTAGTATAAATTTTTGGTATTTCTGGTTTGAATCTTTGGAGTTCCTGGTATGAATTTTGGTATCACTGGCAAGCATTCTTGGTGTGCTGTTTTGGTGTTTGATTTTATCAACCTAACAAATAATGGCTAGTTAGGATAGAGTTCTACTGTATCAGTATGTAAGTATAAATCTTTGGAGTCTCTGATATGTTGTTGTTTTGGCGTTCTTGATTTGGTATTCTTGATTTGTTTGGCATCTCTGATACTGTATAAAATTTTGACATCTTTAGTATGAATCTTTGGAATCTCTAGTATGAATCTTTAGAATTCCAGGCATGAATCTTTAGTGTCTTTGGTGTGTTGTTTTGGTGTTCTTGATCAGACCTAACAAATAATAGCTGGTTAGGATGTGATGAAGCAGGGTTGGGGCTCTATTAAGATACAAATATGAATTTTTAGAGTCTCTTGTATGTTGTTTTGACATTCTTGGATATTTGTTTAGCATCTCTTTTATGAATTTTTGACATTCCTAGTATAAATTCTTGGTATCTCTGGTTTGAATCTTTGGAGTTCCTGGTATAAATCTTTGGAGTTCCTAGCATGAATCTTAGTGTCCTATCAGACCTAACAAAATAATAGCTGGTTAAGATGTGATAGAGCAAGGTTGGAGCTCTATCAGTATGTAAGTATAAATCTTTGGAGTCTTTAATATGTTGTTGTTTTGGAGTTCTTGATATATTTTGCTTTGGTGTTCTTGCAGTATATTTGTTTGGAATCTCTGATATAAAATTTTGACATCTTTGGTATGGGTCTTTGGAGTCTTTAGTATGAATCTTTGTAGTTCCAGGCATGAATCTTTAGTGTCTTTGGTGTGTTGTTTTGGTGCTCTTGATCAGACCTAACAAATAATGGCTGGTTAGGATGTGATGGAGTGGGGTTGGGGCTCTATCAGGATGCAAATATGAATTTTTAGAGTCCCTTGTATGTTGTTTTGACGTTCTTAAATATTTGTTTGGCATCTCTATTAGGAATTTTTGACATTCCCGGTATAAATTTTTGGTATCTCTGGTATGAATCTTTGGTATAATTGGCGTGAACCTTTAGCATTCTTGGTGTGTTGTTTTGGTGTTTGATTTTATCAGACCTAATAAATAATGGCTAGTTAGGATAAAGCGGGGTTAGGGCTCTATCAGGATGCAAGTATGAATTACAGTTTTGGATTTGTTAAACACGTAATTATCATAAGATTAGATAATCAATTTTAAAACTAGAAAATATATAACTTATATGTATTGAAATTGTAGTTTTTAAGGAAACCTTTATTTAATATATTAAAAATTTACAAATACATGTGTATACAAAAATAATTAAAATTATATATAATTATGATGTATTAAACAAAAAAAACCACCGCATTATGTTCACCTAAATGCTTATCAATTACCATATCATTACACCTAGAGATGGGAAAAATGCGCATGTTATATAAAATGCACTTAATATAATTTTTTTTGAATTTATATTAGAACCCGAAATGAAACGTTAGCAGAAATTAAACAATGAAACAAAAAACAAGAAAAAAAAACTAAAACCAATGCAAAAAGGAATAGCTACTTATCACATCGTGTGCAAGTCAAATGCTGATTTCCAAACCCTTTCTCAGAAACAAGCTCATTATCGCTAGGATCTAAAGAAATCAGAGTGAAGAGCGCCTTTCTTCTTAGAACAAGTTAATTATAGCCAATATACAAGAAACCAGAGTATTATACTGCCATATTAAAGACCCAGGTCACTTATATTTTTCACATTCGGCGAACTCAAACTAAAGGGACTCTGACCATTATAGTGTATACGGTCGCGATAGTATCATCGCTCACAAATGACCCTAAAAATAAATACATGTATATATATATATATAATAAATTAGCCCCGGTGAACTCAAACTAAAAAGACTCCGGCCAGTCTAACGTATACGGTCATGATAGTATCATCGCTCACACACGACGCCATAATAAGTGTAATATGGATACTACTTACTAAGAAATGACTTCGACTAATAATGGTAAATAGAAAAAATTAGTATACTAAATAATTATTTTACTTTATGTAACCTATATACGTACGTATAACTTACCCTTAAAAATAAATACATATAATAAATTATTCCTGGCGAACTCAAACTAAAGAGACTCTGGCCAGTCTAATATATACGGTCGCGATAGTATTATCGCTCACAAATGACCCTAAAAATAAATACATATATATATATAATAAATTAGCCCCGGCGAACTCAAACTAAAGAGACTCTGGCCAGTCTAATGTATACAGTCGCGATAGTATCATCGCTCACACACGACGCCGTAATAAGTGTAATATGGATACTACTTATTAAGAAACGACTTCGACTAATAATGGTAAATAGAAAAAATTAGTATACTAAATAATTATTTTACTTTATGTAACCTATATACGTACGTATAACTTACCCTTAAAAATAAATACATATAATAAATTATTCCTGGCGAACTCAAACTAAAGAGACTCTGGCTAGTCTAATATATACGGTCGCGATAGTATCATCGCTCACAAATGACCCTAAAAATAAATACATGTATATATATAATAAATTAGCCCTGGCGAACTCAAACTAAAGAGACTCTGGCCAGTCTAATATATACGGTCTCGATAGTATCATCGCTCACACATGACGCCGTAATAAGTGTACTATAGATACTACTTACTAAGAAACGATTTCGACTAATAATGGTAAATAGAAAAAAATTAGTATACTAAATAATTATTTTACTTTATGTAACCTATATATGTACGTATAAGACCCCTAAAAATAAATACATATAATAAATTAGCCCCGGTGAACTCAAACTAAAGGGTCTCTGGCCAGTCTAATGTATACGGTCATCGCTCACACATGACCCTAAAAATAAATACATGTATATATAGTATATATAAATCAGCCCCGGAGAACTCGAACCAAAGGGACTCTGGCCAGTCTAATGTATATGATCGCAATAGTATCATCGCTCACATGCGCCGTAATAAGCGTACTCTAGATACTGCTTACTAAGAAACGATTTCGACTAATAATAGTAAATAGAAAAAAAATTAATCAAATTTCAAGTATTCTGATTATTAAAAACATAATATATATTAAATAGGGGTCGGAACAGAATCACGTGAATAAATAAAATTTTGGCGAAACAAAGAAAAAAAGTCAACCTAATTTAAAGACGACCCTAATATATGGGGGTGGTCAATAGAAACCAAGCAAATTTATCTAATAAATTAGCCAGAATGGTTTGATCGCGCGTTCAGTGTTTATTTTGTACCCGCATTTGTGCGGGGCACAGAAAAATAAACACTAATCGCGTTCTATTTTTTTTTATCAAAAACAATATATACCGGTACGTACGTACGTACGTCTAATTGGCTGATATAAAAAAGGCTTAGACCAAAAAACTGTAACATAAAAATAAAGATAATCAATTTCGATATGTTTCAATATATCTCTAATTTGTTTTCGTACCGTTCCTCACCTATATGTTCCCCCGAGACTGAATGTTCCCCCAAGTCTGAACGTTCCCCTGAGGCTGAAGGTTCCCTCAAGTCTGAAGGTTCCCCCGAGTCTGAAGGTTCCCCCAATTCTGAAGGTTCCCCAAGCCTGAATGTTCCCCAATTCTAAACGTTCCTCTGAGTCTGAACGTTCCCCCAAGTTTGAATGTTCCCCCAATTCTGAACGTTCCTCTGAGGCTAAATGTTCCTCCGTGTCTGAATGTTCCCCCGTGCTTGAGCGTTTATGTTCTTCTGAGTACTCCGGCTCCACCATATGTTCCTCCATGTCCTCTTGTTTCCTTGAGGCTGAATGTTCTCCCGTGTCTGAACGTTCCTCCGTGTCTGAACGTTCCCCCATGTCTGAACGTTCCCCCATGTCTGAACATTCTCCCGTGTCCGAACGTTCCCCCGAGTGCTCCCCGATAGGTTCCCCTGAACCTACAAGGTATAGATATTTATAAGAAAGTTATTGAGTTATGAATGAGTTAGTTTGCATTGCAGTAATTGTAAAATTCTATTAAGAAGAACACGAAGCTGGAAGCAAAAGTGGTCTAGTGAAGAATTAGAAGCCCTTGCTCATGGAATGCGTATATATGGCACGTGCTGGGCTGCTATAAAAAAAAAATTTGAAGATCCTTTAAGGAAGAGGTCGCAGGTTAGCCTCAAAGATAAAGCGAGAGTAGAATTAGAACGTAGAATAAAAAATAACCTGCCACTTGGCGTTTTTAATAAAGTTAACGTTCACAAGAACTTTAAATATTGAATTTTTTTATAAAATTTTTTTTCTTTAAAAAATTTTTTTTAAATAAATAAAAATGAGATTACTTTTAATAAATAAAATTTGAAAACATGTTATTGAATGAGAAATTGCACAAAATCTTGGCATGCTATCTGATTCTAAAAATTGGTTTAGTGAAAATTTTTTAACTATAAAGATTACTTTTATCTTATATCTAGTGACGACATTATTGATCATTTACAACCGTATTGGCGAATGCTAGATCAGTTTAAAACAAGCATTACCGCCCAGGATGACTAAACCATTTTCAATAATCATTAGTGAAACACACAGTTAAAATTATTTCGTGCTTGAAAAAGCTATTTCTGGACATATTAATTATCCCGGATATAATAAATTTACAGATCCCTGGTGTTGGAGGTTTTGAATATTAATGGAAAGAATGTGAATTAAGGGTTGCACTTAAATGTCTTAAAGTCAATAACGATTTAAGTTTAGATATTAAAAATTTTATTAATAATATATTTTTTTATATAGACTTGAATTAATTACTTTTTGGCATAATATTAAGTTCTTACAATAATGAAGCTTAAACTATTGCGAATTACGTACCATAAAATAATGGATAATATAACTAGAGATGTGCGAATGCAAGGTTTTTGGCTTTGCATCATATAATGCAACATTATATCGCACGATACATTATGTAATTCTGTATAATATACTCTGAACCTCTCAAAACCTATATGTAGTGAACAGACTTTGTATTATTACTGAGAGGTTATCAGATTCAAAATCATAAAATATTAAAATTATATAGTAGAAACAGACCTGGCAGAGTAATTTTTTACTGAATTCACAGGCTATTACTTTTGATAGGAACAGTGTCTATAAAGCGATTGTTGATGAAATGACAAAGATCAAAATTACATAATAATTTCTATGTGCATTTTCATATTTTAGGCAACTTGCATCGCATTATGCAGCATTATGTAGCATCAAACATCGCCTGCATAATGCATACGGCATATCTCTAATTATAACTGATAATATCAGATATAGTTTTACGATACGTTAACGGAAATGAGAATACCTATTTTCATTAC